CCCCTCACCTCTGCAAATCAAGCTCCGTAACTAGAGAAAATATTTTGTCCGTCATCGTCATGGTTCGTAATGGTCAGGCGACAGCTCGAAATCGTCATTAGACGACCGGACACAATATTTTCTCTCCCAACAGGCGTCAACCAAGCATCAAAGCCTTTAAGTTCGCTCCCCATGCTTCGGCGCAATGAATTTGTTCTTCAAGTACGTTTCTTTAAATTTTACATAAATGCTTAAAATTAAATTATAAATAAACACTAAAATTTTCAATTCATTTTAAGTTCTTTTGAAAATATTTCTATGAATTATTGATTTAAATCAACGGTTCAATTATTTATATTTTATTTAAAACACTTTATGAAAATATTTTTGTATCTATTGTTTCATTTATTTTCACTTCTTCTGCAGGTGAAAATTTAATTTAATTTGTAGTTTTAATAAATGAGTTATGAAGATTTTAAGTTCTTAAGAGTATATTTGTAATTTTAACATTTTCACATATCTCAACATGTATGTGGGTTATTACACGTTCCTTTGCTGTTGGCAATTGATATATATCAGTTTGCAAGAATTTGCTTTTTATTGGATTTAAATGTGAAGAAGATTATTTCTGTTCGTTTTTCTCTTTTTTATTTTAGAAGGAGTTGTCAGTTTGTTGATCGTCGTATACTTCCATTATTCTAATAAATCTCCCTCCCGAATCAAATCAACGATTCGAAGAGGAGAATAACCGAATAAAAAGGGACATACGACAAAAAGACAAACAAGAGAAAAAGTAAAACGTGAAGAGTCTACGTGAGATAAAACTCGCAAGGATATGTCGAGAATGTCCGCCCAAACAAGATCGAGTGGATGCACCTTAAAACAATATCTGCGAAAGAAGTATCTACGTAGACTACTCATAACCAGAGAGTCAGGTGTATGTACCTGTTATGAGGTCAAGAGCGCTTCCAGAGGAACGTGTTACTACTGGTTAATTACATTTTTGGGGGATACCCAAGAATACTCTCTATAAAAGGAGCTTCGCTTATATTATTATAGACATGGGGTATATGCAATCAAAGAAATGTTATTCAAGTGGGAACAATCCTGATGCTTCAAAGCTCACGCTAAGCCATCAGACAGAGAGTGAGTCTCTCACATCCTGAATGGGTTGCGGCTCATCGGCACACAGGGCCCACATAATGACCTAAATCATCTTGACGGGAATATCCCAACATGTCAAAGCACGTTCAGGCCATAAAGGTAGATGACAAATTGTCATATCCTAAATAGGTGACAGCTCATCAACATCAGACTGTCAAAATGATATCGATGAAGTCAAAGGAGCGATAAGACTCAAATGGGCTCAACAAAATGAAGGTAGAGTGATCCTAAAAGGTAGAGGTAACTGGGTCGGGTAGCACGAACTTGTCATCCATAGCTACTAGGACCCTAAGTCTACCTGGTCGTGAAGGTAGTCGACCCAACACGTCCTGAAATCCTCGGTCAGCAATTCGTTAATTGCGTGGATCTCGATAGCCCTAAGGTTAAAGGAAGAAATCTCTATCCTACGACTACAAACTAGAGCATCAAGAGGTGGGACTTATACCTGCCGAAATGACAATGATGCCTCAGAAAAGAAAAGAAAGTGAAGGTTTAGCTACAAAGCTGGAAACACTTCAAATAAAAGGACTTACATCTCGTCTGGGTCGGGGAGCCTTTTAACACCATAAGCACCCTAGAAAACCACGTATAAAAGAGTATGTTGGGCCAGTCAGGTTGAAGAAGCATTTGGGCTCTTCCTAGGGACATGCAAACATGCTGCAGTTATCTAGAACGGTTCTTAAGTATTGTGGAGGTTCTATTAATATATGTAGGAAAGTAAAATTGCAATTTTTAAATCTTGAATATTTTAATCCTAAATTTTAATTATCTTAAATATTTTATTTAGAATTTTGTAGAAAAAATTGAATTTAAGTCCTAAAGCGTCTATATTGCATCGTGATCCCAGACAAACCATAGAAAGAAACAAGGAAAACACATGCAGATGTGCAGACATGCAAACATGTAACAAAAAACAAAACAAACCAAATAAAATAATAAACACGTCAGTGTCGCCCAAAAAAGAAAAAAAAGTGGTTGGTCTCCGTGTATACTTGCACGGTCCTAATTCTTACATTAATGTAAAAATATAGAATTAAGATACAGGGCACGAGCATCTGCTTATGTTCTCCTCTACGTGGTTCCCACACTAATGCCTCGGAATCCATGCCCGTATCTTATTTCTGCTATAAGACTCTCCTACACTCTAAAAAGTACATATGAAAAGAAAAAGACTAAATCTTGCATGAAAACAAGTGTTAGGGAGAAAACTTTCATGCAAATAACGTATAATGAGCCACACCTTAAAAGTGGGGAGCTAAATATCACCTGCAAGCAAAAGGGTTAGAAATAATTACTTGCCCCTCATAGCGGTACTTGTGTGTGTGCATATAAATAGGTGTGGCTCCTTGCAGAAAAATGTCCTAACACACTACCACACATATGCAATATAAAATAACACCAAAAGCACAATGCAAAAGAATGATACATGGCTAGGGCAACAAATTCAGTAAAGAACAATTGTCAGTCATTAAAAAAACTACCTAGCACCCTAAATCCTAGCATAGCACATCATCTAACAAAAAGTGTGTTAACTTAGTATCTAAGTACAGAGTAAGTCTTGGTATAGTATAACTTTGACGGGGTCGTCATACCAACTCCATCCTAAAAACCCAAAGGACCTAAAGGGTGTCGCGAAGAGCGG